ACAGATATGAAGTCGAGAAAGTAGGATGCCATGAAGGACCAAATTTGACATCTACTGCGGCTGACCATATGAAGCCATGGTCAAATTGATTTAATGCTTGTATCAGCTCAAAACCTAAGGACCTGATACTTTCTGTTTCTTTCTTTTTTTTTTTTTTATTATCTTTGCAGGTACATGATAGTGATGTCCATTCAACAGACATCGAGGACGATGCCTCTTCAGGCAGGCCGAAGCTGTGGGAAATAATACCGTCCAATGCTGAATGAGAATTGCCCGTTATGACGTCATCAGTATAGCATCACCCAGCGCAGTAAGAATCATCCCAGACAGCGCTGAGACCTGGTCGAGAGTGGAGGGCAGACGTGAGCAGACGGCTCACACGTCTTCAAGAGTTTATAAACTTAGATTGAGCTTTTGATGTTATGCCTTTAGGTGTAAAAAAAATGTTGGTGCATCATTATGTTAATCCTGCATACCGTTAACTTCATCTTTATTTACTTTTCTTATTTATTTTTATTTCTTTCTATTAAATAAACCATTTAAATATTACTTCGTGCTCTCATGCTGTGAATTAAGTCAAATTCTACATTTGTAAATTAGATATGTCCCTGTCTCTAACTGATGCCCACGCAGGGGAAGCATACGTGAAGATTGGCCGTATAACAGAGATGTATAAGTGCCGTTTCTAGTGCCGTTCCCTTTTCTTTCAGTTTAGAGTGCTCGTTAATAAGTGGGTTGAGACTCTGAATGACTCCTAGTGTTTTTCCCCTGACATGAGTCAGGTGATCCTTCCAGGAAAATTTATCATTAATAATAACGCCAAGGTAATTCGCCTTGCGTACTCTAGGAACTTCTGTATTAAATAGTTTAAGGTTTTCCGTGATTTCAGTGGCAGAGTTCTGCTTTCGGATAATGAGCAGCTTGGATTTATCTGCGTTAATTGAAATACGCCATTTGGTACACCAAAATTCTATTTGCGGCATGATTTGTTGAAGTTTCCTGACAGCTTGATTAGGACACATAGATTTTACAGCAAGCGCCGTATCATCTGCATGCAGCCAATGAAGTAATTGTAGTTAAAGCCTGTTTTAGGGAAGTCAGTCACAAAGAAAAGATATAAGATCGGACCTAAAATTGACCCTTGCGTGACGCCGGCCTGAATTCGGTTGACTTCAGAAATCTCATTTCCAATAGAAACATGAAAACTTCTGCCTTTCAGGAATGAGTAGATGAGACACGTTAAAGTTTTGAAGCCAAGGGAACGGAGCTTGAAAATTAGACCCTCGTGCCAGACGCGGTCAAAAGCTTTGGCCACGTCTAGCATGAGTAAAGCCATATTTTGTCTGTTATGTAATGCACTGCCGATGAACTCAGAAAGTCTGACCAATTGTTTCGTGGTGGAAAGCGGTTTTCGGAAACCAAACTTTTCTTTTGGTAGTTTCTCTAAGTATGGATGGATTCTATGATAAATGATGCGTTCAAAAATTTTCCCCAAAACGGGAAGCAAACTGACAGGTCTAAATCCCTCTGGGCGAGTGGTAACCTTGCCGGCTTTAGGTAAGACAATCATTTTGGCTCTTTTCCAGGCAAGCGGAAAGTATCTGATAGTTAAGCAAGCATTTAAAATACTGGCATATCTTGCAATACAATTTTTCGGTAAGTTCTTGATCGCTAGGTTGCTTATTGCATCATAGCCCGGAGCCTTCCTGTGTTTTAGTTTTCGTATGATTTCTTGGATTTTATGTGGAGAGGTCAGTTCCAGATTGTCTTCTAAGTCCTCCTGTGAGGTAAACCAGTCATTAATGCAGTATCTTAGATCATAAGCAAAGTCTATGTCACAAGGACTCTCGTTCGTTTTAAACTGATTTTCAAAATGTTCTGCAAAGGCGTTTGCTTTTTCTTTATTAGTGAGAGCCACACAATTATTGAAGTGAAGTGGTTTGGTCGCTACAGCCTTTCCTTTTAGATTTCTGACAAATGACCAGAAAGCATTGTCTGGTTCATTAAAATTCATGATTTTCTCGTCCCAAAGGTCATTTCTGAGCTGAAGAATTGATTGCTTGATTCATAGTGTAACTGGAAGTACACTCGACGCGTATTCGGGACATCCGTTTGAATCCCGAAGAGAGCATTGCCCATTTTTCACGTCTCCTGCATCGATAATCCCAATGACTCTACAACCTAATATTTGCATTATCAACATGCATTCATCTCTGCTTTCAGAAAACATTGCTTGCGTTGTGCTGAGTTACTCTTTGTATATAAACATAATGCACATTCATTATAGCTATTAGAAACACTAATTTAATTGTACTGAATTACTGTCTACTTTACTCTGACGCAGTTTTCCACAATCCAGAGTGCCGTTTATATTCTACAATTCACAGTGCGAAATGATTCTTAATAATTGCCCTAAATGTTAAGATCCCCAATCTGGTATAAGCAACTGGTATCTTGCAGCAGCTTTTCCTAATTTATGCCAACTATAAGTAGTCCTCGAATCCTGCTTTTGTAATCCTCTTAGAGTTTCAAAAATGACAAAAAATAAAATTCATATTAACCACATACACGAACCTACAGCTGAAAGTCTTAGCTATGGAAATTACACATGGCAGTCATCCATCGCTTTTACCAGCAACAGAGGAATTTAAAGCACTATGACTGCGATGCATCTTACCAGCATATATCCAAATATATAATAGTTGTGTAAGATTCGGCAGACTCATCCATCTCATTAATGTGAATACCAACTTATTTAATTTTAGTTAATGTGGTAAAGATTATCCAAAGTCTATTGACCTTGAATTATTAAAAACAAATAAAAATTTTCTTCTATTAACTAAACTACTTAATGCCAATATAAAATTTAAATAATTTAATAACTTAAATAATTTTCCTTTAAAAATACTGCTAAAAATTGTCCACAGTATATTCTAATTTATAAAAGTTGTCCCACTTGAGAAACATTTGAGACACCCTTACTGATAATACTAGCCTATTTCATTACGATTAAATTTTTATTTACAATTTAAACGCATTCCTGCTGATTGGTATCAGATTTATGAGCAAACCATTTTGGACAGACAAGTACTGTGGATGTCTTCAATTCACTAAATAAAATAAATCTAGGTGTTTGCTGTTTCGCAGTTCAGTGACGCACTATTACTTTTATACCCATTTAATTTTTGCAACGTATGAGTTAACAATAAAAAATTCTGCTTTCCTTCTGGACTCTTGTATTTGAATCTAGAATGAGAATTGTTTGAAACCCGTTTAATCTTTATTTTTGCATCATTACAGTTAAAATTGTTAAGAATACTGAAGTTACACTTTAAAACTTTGGAAAAATTAAAAAATAAAAATAACTGTACGACTTTCCATTGATTTAGATATCTCGCACTGCTAAGTTGGTTCCGTCTTTTGAAGCATAGAGTTCCATGCCTTACTTTGATGAGTATTTCATAACAATTTTATTTTGATAAGTCGATATTAACTTTGATAAGATTATTTATCAATTAAGTTAATACTTAATTTTGATAAGTCGACTCTTTAACATACGAGTATATTTGTTAGACATGCTTCTTTTTTCTTATGGTACTCTACCGGGTAATCATTCGGTGAGTGAACAGTGAACCAATTAATATTCCAGGGAACCAAATTCTCATTTGAATTTGGCATACTGTAAACAGGAAAAAAAACCATGGTGTGTAATAAATTGATTTTTAGAAGTGCTGGAATATAGTGCTATATCTTCTAATTTAGGTAACAACTCGTTTAAATATAATAAACGATTCAATATGATTTCATTCTACATTTACAACTTGATGTTTGAAAGACGTTAACCAGTGACCTGTAGCACTGATCTTAATACTAATACTTTCTTAGGACTCGAATCCCGTCACAAAGGCTGGATAAGTGGGTTTTTCATGGTTTACTATGTGTATAGCATGAATATGAACTAGTTTTCTCTTTAAATTTCTCCACGAAAGCGTCTCTTCTAAGGCTTATAGATAGCTTTTACTTGCTTGAGCAGAATAAATTGACTAACCTATCGCGTCTGAAGAGAGCACAGTAATATTTCGTGCTGTCAGCAGATAGATATCCTAAAATTAATTTCTTTTGTAGAATTCTTTTTTTGGTGGTGGTATTTTGATGTAATTATTTAACTAATCAAACCAAAATCAATATCCGGAATCATCAAATTTACACCATGATACCGAAAATTTTAAATGAATAGTAATAAAGAATATGTTGCCATCCCGCTTATGACATTCCATCATGAAATTCACAAGCACTACCATGTGAGCATAACTAATGTAAATTTCCTGGATCATCATCGTTATCTTTTGCGCAAAGTTTCTGAGCAAGCGCGTTTGCTGTCCGCCTGATGATGTCGATGCTCAGGTTCCTGAAATTTGTTATAATAATACCAATGGAACGTACTTGTTATAATAATACCAATGGAACGTACTTGTTATAATAATACCAATGGAACGTACTTAATCAAATAGCATGTTCTACGGATATATTTTCATATAAATCTCAATTCTTTAGGTGAGTAGTGGTGAGATAATCGTTCCTCTACCAGCTTTATTCATCTCAAAACTGAAGCGTTTTGTCTAGGACATAACTGAATGGTACCTACACCAAAAATAGGTGGATATCTACAGAAATAGGCCACAAAACTGCACAAAACTGTTATGATGTAAGAGAAAGTTCAACTCTTTTACTAAGTTTTCTCCTTCTCTGAATTAGATTCCTTTACGTATCCATTTATAAATAAAAAAAAGTATATTTTAGATTTGATTAAACACTTTTACAATTCACAGATTAACTGTTTCCTTTTTTACTATACGGTAAATAATTTCATTTACGAAAACCATAAAACGATTTTCTTAAAAATGAAAGCAGCATCTTTTGATATAACTAGTTATAACGAGACTGCAAATAGAATAGGCTAATCGTGCACCTGCTATAAAGTTACAAAACTAAATCCTTACCAGCGTTATTGGTGTTACAAGCAATGAGAAACCAGGCCAAAAAGATAGCATACACATTTCGATTGAGCATAGCATAGAGAATTGATAAAGAAGAGTCCATTTTCATGTTTCCGTAACGGTACTCATAGAGACCGCACATTACTGCCAGGACTGATGCTAATGATATGCACCACAGCACAACCACTGTTACCTACAGAGGAACAAAATAAACATAACAAAGCATTAAAAATATATGGTCAATTATTATAACTCAAGTTTTTCTGTTATTTAAAGTAACGTCGGATTTTTACTGAATATTCGAAGCGAAACCTTTTGCAAAGCGCAACTTTGTTATTGACTGAACATTCTGCCCTATGACGATCATCTAGAAAATTAATTTTTGTATATTTATAAAACGCTCTACCCACATTGCTGAAATTCTTATCATAAATATTTATCTTCTATTTTATTCTATTATTATTGTTTATTGTTCTCTTAAATCGTCTATAATTATTGTCTATACTGTCTTTTATACAGCCTATATTAATGTCTATATTGTCGTATTCGATTGCTATATATTATTATTGTCTATATTGTCTTATTGTATTATTAGTGCATCTTATTTTGTGAAATTTGTAAGAACATGCTTCGAACTGCTTCGAAACAACTTAATGACTCTACAGTGACTCCCGAACTAAAAAAGGTGGTGGATGGTAATTCTCCACCCCCAGGATTTGGCAACTGGGTTCCCTAATGCCTAGTCGCCCTTTAAAAGGGAGGTATATAAGGTATTTTCCAGCCTTCTTAACAGGCTTTCGTGGAACAGTGGTCAGCACGCTCGACGCATATTCGAGAGTTCTGTGATTCCAGTTGTGGCGGGGGTTTGCTTATTTTTCATCTTTCCTGCTTAAATAACCTAATGTCAGTACATACTATTATTTACCATATCTATTAGTATTTTAATTTAATATTTAGTAAATATTATTGTGACTTTTCTGTAGACATTTATTGAATCTATGATCTTATACCGCAGTAACGAGATCTCCATTTGTACAGCACCAATCTCATACTGTACTTTTGCGTAAGTATAGCTAGCGAAAGTTCTTATATCTGTATTTTAATTAGTTTGTTTATTTGTAGGGAGGATCTCACAAGTGGTCAAATGGCTTAACTATGCTGTCCCAGTTATAAGTACAAATACAGCAGAGACACTAAAGAAAAACACAGTTGATCGATTATTATTGATCAACAATTAAGTCCGAATCTTTCTTGATCGACTTCTTGCCTTGTCAAAGTTAGATAAAATTTGTCTCATGTTAATAGTTGCTTTAATGATAAGTCTTTCCCTATATCTTTTAAATGTGGGCAGGCCTCCACGATGTGTTTGGCACCTCTAGTTTCATTGCAGCTGGTGCAGAGGTCAGAGTTGGCAAATTAAATCTTTTAAAGTACGCAGGAAAACGGCTATAACCCCTTTAAATTTTGATTTAAATCTATGTCACTATACGTTGTTCTTATTTTATTGCTACCAGTTTCATATAGTTTTTTTTTATCCAATATTTCCCACTTTTCTTTCCTTAATTTATAGGTATAATTATTCATAAAGGGCACGACCTTTCTGTTTGAGCCATACACATCAATGATTTCATTGTCATGTTGTGTAATAGCCCGCACCGGAGACATCACTAAACATATCAGATTTACCTACCTGTAGAGGATTTCTGTAAAACATAATAGATCTCCTCTGTGCAGAGTGTATTTTGTTAATATCAAGTCTCTGAAAAGCATAGCGGATAACAATATTTCCATCGTATAATTTTAAATACAATTTACCCGTTCTCAGTAAGAATTTGCCGCAGGAAAATAAATATTGTTCTGAGAGAAAAGGCACACCGTGCCAGTATGAATATTACCTCAGCGGGGCGGTTCTGAAGTATCTGGTTAACATAGAGAGCCAGACTCTTTGGATAGTGTCCAGTTTCATTGTAAGACGCACAAACTTTGTTGCGCAACAAGCCTATACAACTGTGCTGTACATAATTGTTGGAATGGAGACAGCTTCGTATGTGACTCTCACCTCTATTTTAGTATTTTAATTTGTATTTTTAGGTTAAATGGTATAGTGGTTAGTCAAGCCGACTGCGATACCAAAATGCCCGAGGCAAAGGTGGCTCACCTATTAAGTGTCTCCATAATAAAGTGACCACCACTTCTGGCCTTAGTAGTTGCCAAGCGGAAGTCGGCTGAGGACCCGTCATTGGAAAAAAAATACATTCTTAACCGTCTCGCCTACTTTGTACGGAGACTGGATTTATATAAGTGGTATAACCCTTATATAAGTGGTATAAATTTATATAAGTGGGATAAATTGAAATTTTTTTAAAATAACATACCGGTTTTTTTCCCATATTTTGATTCTATGATTCAAATTATGCCAAAGTGACAGTTTTGTGTAGTAGTTTTTAAAAAACTAGCTCTCAAAATTTCAATTGAGGTTCGCAGATAGCAGGTGGCTTCTGCCAAAATTGTACTTAAACACCTTGAAATTGGCCGAGGGTTAAAGTCAGTGGTTGTTTCCGGCAATATGTTAAGGCTAAATTAATTAGCTAAGTGTAGAAAATAATGGACTATTTTAACACAAAATTGTGATACCTTAAAAACAAAATACTCACTGTACTTTATATTATATACTTACCCCTCTAAATTTAAGAGATTCTTTATATTTAGCGACTACATAACCTGTTACTAGTCCAATGCAGAAAGGCCCTACGTGATCAAATGTTTGTATGAAGAGAGAATTCCACATTTTTGGTCCAGATCTAAAATTAAAATACAAAAATATCCTTAAAGTATTTGAAATAAGTATGTGAACTACATTAATTTTACACAAAACATAGGTATGATATTTATATTTCTTTGTCTGTACTACATGACCTATATGTAACTTTCACATGCATTGAAAATGAAATGTTTTGAAACGAAGTATCCATTTCTCATTATGTAAATTTTGGCGTTCTCAAATTCACTTTAAATAATTAAAAAATATTAACAATTTCTTATAAAAAATCATCATTTGATGATTCAGACGAAAAATTGTAGAGGAAAATCTATAAAACTTCACTCTGAGAGATAAGCTTTTATAATTACTTTTTTAAGTTTTATTTATTTCAGCCTCTGACGAATTTGAAAGATTATTTTCAATATGGTCAATATTCTTAAATTTCCGTCGTTTACTGGCAAAAAGCAAAATGCATTTAATTGCCGAATCTTCAGAGGTAAAAGAAGAAGACATATAAACTCCTATAGACATATAAATGGGCAGTTTATATTTATCATGTACTAATAATTTTAGAATAAAATTCTTATAATATAGGGTAATAAAGAACGTAATATAAATGTCATGCATACCAAATAACACTCAGAGGTATTTATTGGAGATCTGAAATGGAAAGCTAAAGTATTATATTATTGACAAAGAGGAAATTAGAGAAGTTAGGTATGTAGGGCATAACTGCTTCAAATATTTAATACCGAAAATATTTAAAAACAAATGCAATTGGAATTACCCTAAGGAAAGTGGCATTCTTCGCCGTACCAATTTGGACAACAAAAATGAAAAATGTTCAGTAATTTACATTGCTAAAGTACTCAAAATTTTCCGTTTTTTGTTCTTGTGACAAATTATTTTTAATCTTGTTTTATGAAATAAAACACAGAATTCATTCAGTAGTTTTCTTCTGTAAAAGTTTTGTTTTGTTTATGTACATAATAATAAAGGCAATAAAGGCAATTTAACCTCTGAAGATTAAGAAGCATATGTTCGCCATCTTATTCATTAGAAAAATAGCATTGTTGAATATATTAAAGATACCAGTACTCTTTCGTTAATTTTTAAATATATTTATTAAATTAAATAAGCATGGATATAGTTATAAATGCAAATTTTATTCCGTCTCAGCTCTTGTATGGTTAATTTATAAAACAATCAATTAATTACTCACATTGCATCTAAAAGGTACAATGATAAAGCTCCTGGCAATTTCTTCACGAAAACTGTAGAACCTACAATAGCCATTCCGCAAACGACCATCATAATAATCATCGCCATTCCTAAATTCGGCCTCCTGTTTAAAAAATAGGTAGCATTAGCATTTTCACGTGACTAGTACAAAGATAACATTTTATTTTAGCTGAACAGTGTTTTCAATTTTTTTTACCCTTGATAATGCGAACTCAATGATAATTCTCAAACTGATGAAGTAATAAAAGTATTAACTTTAAGCTTTAACACTGAGTACATTTTAGTTAGACAACTATTTTTGGAATATTCATAAATCAGATATCTTTCAAACAAAAGTTGCCATTTTATTTCCCTCTGCAAGTGAATTTTTATTGCATTTTTTCTTGCGTAGTTATATTCTTGTATAATATGTTGCACTTTTTAGTGTGTAAATTGTTCTTATAGAAACATCGCGATATTACTGTTTTCAGAATTTTTTTAAATAGTTTTATTCATGAAATATTTCAAGCTGTTAAAATAATTAAAATAAACTTAAATGCAGGTTGGCTAACGTATACGATTCTGTAAATCTGTTTCTGCGTCTAAGTACAATTAAATAATACTGAGACCTGTTCTTTTACCATTTTAATCTAGAAGGTGAATTTTCTGACACCAGTTGCATATTCTTTTAATTGTATTAATATTTTGACCTTTTGATAAACATAACTTGTATGTAACTTATTCTATTGTCTTTGAACTTAATAAGGCAAGTTACCAATAAAATAGCTTTCAATCTTAATGGCCACTATAATAGGGAAGTAGGGTAATTTGATAATGTTGGACTTGTGAAACAACTTCCAGCATTCTGGATCCAATTTATTGACATCCGAGAACATCACTGCATTATCCAATAATATATCCAAGATATACTGATAATATATCCAAGATATACTGATTTAAGAAACATAAGTGTATAAATTAGTTTAAGAGAATATATACCATTGCAGTCACATCTGACTTACGCACATATATGTACTAAACATACACCGATCCCAAACATGATCCTTTAATACTGTTCCTCCAATTTTAGCTCACGAAACAACTGCAGTGCATTGTAGTAGTATGGAATCTAAAACTTTTATAGGTATTCAGAGGAGCATTACCTCAGGTTTGCAAGCAGTTAAAGAAGACTTTTTTAAAAAGCATTAACATGTATTGTCCTACAGCTTCTCATCTTTTACTCTGCAATCCGATAAACTCTGCGAAAATGTGACTTTTCTTTAAATTGCGACTATTGTTTTTACATTTAATTAATCATAAAAATTCTGTGCTAATGTAAATTGACCTTAGGTATTTTATATATAAAATTTTTCAATTTTAATATATGTTTTGTATTTCTATTACAAATTCATTTCTATTCCAAATTCCGAATTTATTCCTATTTAGTTGCTAGTATCATTGAAAAACATGATTAAAATTTCAGCGCGATGGTTAAATCGAATAACGTTCTAAAAACATGTTTCATTTCACTTTTCATTATTTGCCGAGTGATTGAAGCAGATAAATGATTCTGGATTGAGAAATGCATCCGGTAAAGTAGATTTTCACCTTGCTTATGGTTTCTAAAGCCTTTTAAAAACTATATACAAAATATAAATTTTTGAAAACCCTAGTTGAAAATTTAAGATTAAAAATGAAAAAAAGTTGTAAATTAAAGTTGAAAATTAAGTTTATACTTACCTATTACAGATCGATTAACAAAACAAAAGCTTTACTGCATAAAAATTTGGCCCTGAAAAACGTTTGTCAAAATTACGTGACTTATAGCACTTTACTCAGACAAAAAGAGAAACGAAGAAATCTGAATTTCGCAGTCGATGCTACATAAAATGGAATTGCAATACGTTGCCTCCTTTTGCTAGTAATGCTGCGAAGTTAATTGCAAGTAATTCTTGAAACGCAGTATAGCGTTGATTCTTTTCCAGGGAATAACATACTAGTCCTGTAAATTGAGCAAATTAAGAGCATTGTAGAAAATGCTAATGTAGTCATCGACAAAGGGACCATTCATGTTGTTAAATATGTGATCTAAAGTTAGACGTGCGTGAACAGTAATCTAAATATGTTTTTTCTTCTTAATGGTTTTCTGACTTGAATATGTTTTCTAGCTAGAATCGCATGGAATAAATATACCATGTAATGCAGTATTTATGTTATCAACAATTCTTCTGCTATTTCACCAGGCTATTAGGATTTCATTTCGCCGACGGGAAGGCTTCCGAATCTAAAATTATTAAGCTGCACGGAGTTTGTGGCAGCTCATCGGAATTTATGATATCGATTTTTTGATGGGATTACATTTACCCCTATTTAGTTTACATTCTTGGCCAAGCTGGATACACGAGTCAAAAGTTATGCAAGAATTTCAAGCTGCGGAATGTGTTCACTTCTCTCAAAATTCTAGCATCAGCGACAAATAGCAATTTGACATCTAAACAAATCTAAATATAAAAATTATTATATTAAATATAAAAAAGATCTGAAATCTTTCAGATTTAGTATAACGTCCAATGGGACATTTGCTTCATTTACATACACGTACACGTCCCGAGAGCATTTGGGCTAATGTTCATTTGAACAAAAAAATTTAAAAACAGCTTATCTTTAAAATTCCCGATAGACAGTGTCTTACGCTTGACATAAAAGTGTTTTTTTCCCGTACAATGTTGCTATTGTTCACTTTGAAATCGTTGAGTTTGTTAATCAAAAATTCATTCAAGTTTTACAAAATTTGAAATCCACAGTAAAATATGTAAAAACGGCATATTTTTAGAATTTCTGAACACAGTCTCGCGGCTTGAAATAAAAATCTTTTTGAGTACAATGTTGGCATTGCTCGCTTTGAAATCGTTGAGTTTGTTAATCAAAAAATCTTTAAAGTTTTACAAAGTCTGAAATAGATAATTAAACAAATTCAAATTTCGAATATCAAGCATCCAGATGTCCATGTTCCGGTGGAGGATTACATTATTCAAAATTTATTGGCTCTAGGTATTGTCGTTTTTTATAAAATGCGAGAAATTTACATACATTCATACAGATTCTTCAGTATTTAATTTTTTTAAGATATAATACAGGGCGATAATATTTGGTAGCAACAATTTAAAAGTGATTCGCTTTTTATAGGGAAATGCTACAAAATGCCGTTTTGAGACTAATGGCCCTTCTGGGCTACTGCCCCTTTGGGCTAATAAATTTAAGACAATAAGCAAGAAAATTTTGAGATATATCAAGCTAACCAAGATTTCTAAACATCAAACAGAATATGGCTTAATGCGCTATTAAGAAAGAATATAATACATAAAATCCTGACTTACTTTATGAGTAACCAGATGACTAGTGCAGAGACTACATACAGCTGCATGATTGCTGCCATAAGCCAGGTATGGTACAGACACTAAATTTTAAGAAATAAATTCATCGATTGTATAAATAACGGAGATAATATTTTAAAGCATATTTAACTTGTTGATTGATAAAAACTTACTGCATCTTCGGAAGCCCAGTAGTTCTGGATATAAAATAAATTCGTCCACCATCTCTCGCGACAGTTTTTCAGATAAGGCCCTACAAAATCGTCCCAGAATGGCCCATATCCGATTAGCGGTAATAACAGAAACAAAGCTATTGAAAGAAGTTGGAACAAGGACATCCTGGAAGAAATATATTTTATTCTGGATATAAAATATGATTTTTTGTAAGGGCTTTTAAATAGATATCACAGTAGTGTACAAAAACACATCTTTCGTCTATAACATCAAACGGATTTTACTACAAGACATTCAGACATGGCACGTAAGACAGTCTTTGCTTCACTGATGCATATTAATATGTATTTAGTTATGATTCACAGATGCATATTATTAAAAAGTATTTAATTGTGCTCATCAACGGACAAAATTATGCGCTTATAATTTAATTTGTATTTTGACTGGTCACATTGGATGATTATCAATCATTTATATTTGGGATCGTATTTTTTTAAGCATTTCATCATGAAAGCTCTTACTCTTGTAGTTACATTAACAATTTTGTGAAATTTACAAGAACAAAGATTTATACTAACATTAAAACGAAGTTTAAGATTTCTGTTTAAGCGAGTTATATTTTTTATCGCATACATAGATATTCTTCATTAAGTAATATGACTTTAAAATTAGGAAAATGGTTATTCATATCGAGCCTTTTTATGAGTTCTGTCAGACAAGAGAAAGCAATTTTATTTAAATTATAAAAGTCACTATTTTCCTTATTCCAAAACTGTTGCATATCTAGCGGTTAATCTAAGTTTAGAACTTCTTATCTGATCTTTAAATAAGATTATTTTTAGTGCATTGGAATACACTCTGATGAAAACTAAATTAAAGTTACTTAAAATTATTATATATATTAAAATATGGAAGAACATATCTTAAATTTGCTAATATGGTGATTTGTTATATAATATTTGCTGATATATTTTTATGTTTGCAATACGTGTCACAAAATTTCATCAGATTTGGAAAAATTATCTCTGAAATTCCTGAAATGATAGAAATACTATTCTGCTTATAATACATAAACTTTTGAAAATAATCTAAATAGCATTTAAATCAGAATACAAATAAAAAAGGTAAAAATAATATAACGCTAAAAATAAAAAAAATTGAAGCTAGTATTATAAATTCTCTGTAATTTAAGTTAACGACCGTAACTTCATTTAACTTTTCAACTCATCCTCCTTCTGATTCAATTTGACCTGAGTGTTGTAAATGCTTTTTCACATCTAGAAAATTTTAGCAGTAATGAGAGCTTGAAATCTCAGAAGAAAGAAATCAAACTTTTTATTAACAGATTCGCCGATTTAATTTAAGTGTTACCATTTTTTGCACTTTTGATAATATAAAAAGAGAAGAATTTGGTAATTAGCGATAAATAAATAATTAGTTTGATTAACATGAAATATTTTTATTGAGTAATGTCTTTGGAGTTTTATAAAACTTGACAATGATGACTGTAAATTAACCAAAACGCTTAATATCTTCACATTTCTAATGCAGTAAAACCTCTCTTAGGGACCACCTCTCTAAGATTACTAACCCTTAAAGTGACTGGTATTTCGAAGAACAGAAACAGATAGATATATTCATAAAAATTCTGTCTAAGGTCATAATCTCCATTAAAGGCTAAATTTATGTAAAATCCTAAGTAAGTCGTTTCAGAGAAGATTGATTTTATATAGTTTGCTTACTGTAGTCACGGACACCTAAAACCTCCAGTTAAGAGGAGAAAATATTAGATCCTTTGGATGGTCATAAATAATAAAACTAATAAATATGAAGTTATGAAACTACAAATACGAAGAAGTTAATGTTATTTATAGCACTCAGAGATCGTTTAATTAAACACCGTTTGAAAACCTCAGGTATGCGAAAGGGAGATTTAGTAGTTTTCTCAGGAACAAGAATCTTTGGATTTTGGTGGTGGTGGTGTGTGTGGTGGTGTATTTAATTATGGCAAAGCACACTAGGGCTATCTGCCTAAGAGGAGGGATGCCTTTCGTGGAGGACTTTCTAAGGGAAACTGACTCGTATACACGTTACACATGGGGAAAACCACGAAAACACCCATGCAGCCAGCCCGTTCGCGGGATTCGAACCTCGGACCGAACTACCAGTGTTCAGCGATTTTACCGCTCGGCCGCTGGTGGGCCCTCTTTGGATTTTGAACATCTACCTTATGACTGAAACAATAGTTAAGATATATTCTTCAGTTAGAATAATATAGTGCAATCTCACGTAGTTAGCTTCAAAGATTTAAACATTAAGGCAAAAATTGAAAAACTGAAGCTAAGCTAATGTAATATGTTTTAGTCATGAAATGATTACGAGCTCAAACCACGATATTTGAACGTCAGAATTATACATAGCAAATAAAAAAGGATTTTTAGGCAATATATTTGTTATGAAGATTTTTATTTTTAAAAGCATAATTATTTGAAATAAATTTGCATCTGAAAAGTAATAAAAATGTCACGTTTGTACCCTGAGAATTATCTTTAAAAAACTACATTAAATCTTGATGTTAAGGATTTGGACTTGTTATTTTTAACATCTAATATTCAGAGAATAAATTTGGACTCCCAAAAGGCAGTAATTCAAATATATTATTAAGAACTATAAAAATATGGTTTTATAATTTAACGTATGACACAAGGTATCTAGATTACGTTATTTACTTCTAAAAAAGAAAAAATAATTACAGTACAAATAAAATGATAATAAATAGATAAATTCAATAATATATTTCTTTATTTTTTCCTAATTTAGGAACCTTATCATAGACATTATATTGCTCCCAATTTCAGAAAATTTTTATTTCACAGGGAAACAATTGTTTGCTGGCCTTTTAAGCTCCTTCCGTTATTGTATTCATAAAAACTCTAGAGTACATTTCTAGAATATATTAGAGAATATATATAGAATATATATATTAGAATACATATAGAATATATATATAGAATATATATATTAGAATACATATAGGGTACAGAGTACAATTTTATAATGTGGATAAAAAAGTTTTCATTAATTAATGTTTAGAATGTTTTCTCACTTAATGCCTTAAGTAGAATGGTGGTCATTCTGAAAGTCCAAGTACACTCATTAATTAATGATGAGATTCACGGAGCATTTCAATGCAATTTCAGAACATTTATACGATCACAGCAAGATCATTGAACAAATCATATTCGATACTACATAAAATTCTACAGAAAGAATCATGGGTATATACTGGTGATAAGCAGTTTCTGCAAGTCATTGAACTAACCTATAATTCTAAAAGAATATTGTAATAACCAAATCAGGAAGAAGTAAGGATGAACAAAGATTTATTAGACGAATACTATTTTTTGACGAAGATTTCTTCAACATCCCAGAACACAGGATTTTCAAGAATAATGCATATCTGGAGGTTAAAGACCTCCGAAGAGCAACGAAATTGTAAAAGGCTTTCTGAATGTCTACATGTGGCGAGCTTATAGGTATCACTACATCACTGAACCTTCACGTTTTGTGAAAATGATAGACGTATCAGTCATTTACAGATGTTACGCTAAACAGTTTTGCATCTTAAAACCTCAGAGAGTTACAATCCGACAACATTCTGTAATAAGACAGTGCATCATCTGCCTGGGGTAAAATTGTTAATGAACCTCGTTTGTGACATGCTTATAGAAGTTTCAAACAATTGTTTTAAAGGAATATACACTGAACGAACTAATCTAATTGCTTTGCTTCCAAAGTTCCTTCACATAATTTCTTCTGAATTAGTTTCCCTGGCGATATGCAAAAGATATTGTTTGTATGAAGGAAGTCTGAGATTTAAGAAACTGAACTTCAGCATTCCAAAGGCTGTAGTTATGACGAATATCGGCCGGATTACTTGAACCGGACAAGAAACAGAATATCGTTTTGATATATTCCGTAGTAGCTTCTAATACTTCTTCTAACGTGTACAAGCACATAGTAACAGGCAATAAAGAACTTTTTAACGTAGCTCCCCATTCATAATACTTGATTTATTTGTACATTCATTATTTTGATACTAAGATTAAAATTAGACATACGTTTCGTTAATAACTTGAAATTTCATAATACGTTGTTCTTATATGCTCAAGATTGCATAAAAATTTCATATAACTTACCTTACGTAAGGTTTTACCAATAATTTCAAGAAGTTGATTCGGGGTTTAATTGCAGCTTTTCTCCAACGAACGAAAGTTGTCAAGAAGCCACTGTGAAAAAAAAATGAACCTATAATGATTATGATAGCAAACAGTCAACTATGTAAATCATTTAACAATAATTATGTACGGTAGCGTTCAATGGTCTTTCCTGAGTGAAGAAAATAAAAAGAAATCTGAAAGAAACTCAAAATTCATTCCTTAGTCTTCTAGACCTTTACAAGCGTATAGCTATAGCACTGTTTTATATGCAACTAGCATTAGTCATGAAATAAAACAGATATAGTTCATAATTTAGAGATTTGTTTTGATGTGTAGATTTGTTTTGATGTGATGATAGCAGGATAATTCTAAATCTGAAGTAAAGTGAAATTCAACTTTAGGTAAAAGAAAAACGTCAGTTTAAGAAATTTTGCTTTCATTTAATTTGTACTTAAATCAAATGACAATATAAATGTATATGAGAGAGACATATTTGAAATCTCGAAATAGGTCATAAACCTGTGAAAGAGAGAGAATGTAATTATAATTACGTATATGTCTGGTTAGTTTGCTTTGGATATGTGCCTAAGAAGCTCTTTGTGGAGAATTTTATTAGGAAAGCTGACTCGTATCTACGTTACATATGGAGAAAACCGTAAAACCACCTATACAGTCAACCTGTTCGCCTGGAATCGAAAATAGGTCGGATTGCTAGTGAACAGAGTTCGACCGCTGGTACACCTATGTACGTTAGAACTAATCTGTGTTCAGATAGGAAACTGAAATGGTAAGAAATATAATCAAGAATTAATAAATATTTGAACCCGCCTGCATACATTTAAAGGCACCTGACTTAGATTTACTTATAAGATATGTAAGTAAAGTATTAAGCCTTTAAAATTTAGATAAAATCAAATTTTCTCTTGTATTCTATAATTCAAACTTAAGTAGGTTAAAAATATAACAAAGATTTTGTTTCCATTCTCTTATTTTTAGTTATATTTTAACTGGCACTCGACCCTTCGGTAAGGCAAGTAAAACTTTATTAAGTTGACAATGCTATTGGATTCACAAAATAGGTCGGATTGCTAGTGAATAGTGTTGGTCACAGTGTAACTTCAAAACACAGATATCAAGGTATATAGATCTAAGAAGAACTGTTTATAAAGAGGTCTGTAAGTAAAAAATATTTTCCCCATTTTGTTTCGTGATAATAAGATTCTCAAAATTATTTATTTGCTGATGGCAACTGCAATAAAGTCTCTAGATAGGTAGAACAGGTTTTAAGACCGGTTTCTAAGATGGTTTTTGAATATTTGACTCCCTGTGAAAGGAAACAAACCGTTTGTTTGATAGTTAGCTGCCGTCTCAGCATCAACAATAGTTGCAGCATCCAGGCCTAACGATTGAAGGGAATTTAAAATTTTCTGCTTTTATAAAAGTACTTATTAAAAAATGGGAACTATTTAATAACTGAGTCACTTTAAAAGTTCTACTTATTTAAAAATCTTGAAAATTTATTTTACATATTAATGCACCATGAAATTTAAAGTGAATAAAAATACTTTCTATTAGCAGTATGTTATTATAGAATTTTATTCTTTGACAGATTCTGCAACTATTTTGAATTTTCTGAGCTTATTTGAAATATCTTTTCATCACAAATAATGACATGTAGATGAATGGTAATCTAAAAACTTGTTTTCAAATTCTAACGAGGTCAGAAACGTGCATGTACATCAAAAAGGGAAGTAAAAAATTTGATAATTCTATGTTTTCTCTGAATAGTTTAACGAATGACTTGTAAAAGCAACAAAGCATTATCATTATGAGAATAAATGTTGATGGTTTTTGTAATTAAGACTTACAGAAGCATGACTCAGTGAAATTACGTAAACCTAAAATGTAACAAATTCTAAAATTGTTTAACTACATATTTTTACTTGCTTTTTACTAAAGAGTAAATAAATGTAGTGAATGAATTCATTAAAAGTGTAATATATACTTTTTTTTCTTAGCATATGCGCATTCATATTCGCTTTTGATTTCGTCCTTAATTTTCATAGTAGCTAAGTATCTTTTAATTCTGTATTGTTTCTGAAACTGTTAAGTTTTGAAATTTAATTAATTGAAAGTTTGTTTAAAAAGTTAAATATACAACATACCAATTGAACGTCCTTTTTAATTACTATAGAATAGGTATCATAATATTATGAAAACCGATGCAAGAACTGACACTAATGATTTAACCTTGTGTGGAAAATAATTATCCCAAATATTAATTTTTTTTCGTGCAACAATCAGGCGACTTACCACCCCGTCTTAATCTTCTAGTCTTGGATTATACCAATCACAGAAGACTTAAAGTGAACCTTTTCGACAGTTCTTCATAACTTGTGTACAGAACAGTCTACGTTAATCGCGGGATTAACGGGAACAGACCTCAGGTTAAAATTTAAATATTAAAATGTAAAATTCATAAGCAGAGCTGGTGTCGATGCAACCGATGCTGCCGCATCATGCGACGGAACTTTGGGGCGGTAAAAATTTTTAGGATATATTGAAACACCTAGAGGAAAAACTTAAGAATGGAAAAAGCTGTAGAATTTAGGGGATATATTGCGCAACAAGATTTAGGAGCGGTAATGTTTTTAGAATTTAGAATAGCAACCGGGCATGAAAACACTTAGTGCCGGTCTACTTCATAAACCAAAGTGCATGTATAAATTTTGGTTAACGCCCATGACTTACACCGGGCACTCACCTGAGCGAATACGAATAGAAAAGATTAAAGTCGATTCCAATTCAGAAGAGCGAAGAAAATATATAGAAATGAGAGAAACTCCCTATAAACTCAAGAAATCTGTATTTATATACATTAACTTGTCTTTTGGGGGGGGCGAACGAAGATAGTAGAAGTAAGAGCACACACAAAAGAGTGAGATAACTGGGTAATAAGCAAAACACCGTGCAGCCTATGTTTTAACATAAAGCACTGTTAAGAATAATAAAGCAAGGTACGTGGGTAAAAACTTATAGGTTTACAACAAATTGTATATTACTTTTAAATGCCCCGAATTCCAAGCATGAAAATTTAGATTCTTAACTGCATCTGAAATTATTGTATTTCCTAAATAATCTGCTTCATATGCACGTTTTCATGCAGCAATTGAGTTCATAGATAATTGATAAAACATTAGGAGTGTATAGTGATAATGGAATGTAAAAACATTCAAGCAAACATTTCTGGTCATTGAAGTCATACCGAAACAATACAAGCCTTTGAACTTAGAGGAACTATGGTATAAAGGCAATGAGTATATTAGGTATTCTATTAGAGTGCCGGATTTCATACTTAACATAACAGATGTAATGAAACAGTAACCCAGCAGCACATAACAGTATATTTTGGAAACCCAGCAATAATGCATTTAGCCTATTACACTTGCCATGCTCCCGATTTGGAGACATTCCCTAGAAGTTATGCCTGTTAACATTTGTTATATTGGGATATGAATCATTTACTTGAACATATTTTCATTTTGGTTTGGAGGCTTTTGTGTACTGTTCTTTTCTGACTGATTAAATTTAACAGTTCATTTGACTTTTGCCATTTCTTGCGTTTCATAACGGAAAGCAAAGAAAATGCTCCTTGTGCGCACCAAGCGTAGAAAACAATGCAGTAATCACAATATCGGACTCTATATAAAATGAGTGGCGTAAAAAGTAATTTTAATTATACACAAACGGCTATTGGTAAAAATACATAATTACTAACAATAATAAATGTTTAATGGCAGAATGTTTTTTTTTTAATTTTACTTATTAAAGGAGTAAAACAGAATATAAAATTAATACAATCACTTTTAAATATTGCGTGATGTTATTTAAAATAAATTGAATAAAATTTGTTGAAGTATAAAGTATATAAAACAAAACTTACGCGATGAAGAAGTAGTTTTCCATCCCGTTGGAGCCATTTGCAAGGATTGTAAATGAAAACTGTTGCATGTATATATAATAATTCAAAAGACTACCTAAAGTAAAACAAAAAAAAAGGAAATAAAATATGAACATTTCAAAGGCTACCTACCTAAAGTAAGTTATATTACAGAAATAGTAAATATATACGAGGGTTGGGGCAAAAGTCATGGCAACTATTTTTTCCTTGTAGATATGTGAACGGATCACAAAACGTATTTGTTTCGTGTAGAAGTTCTGCAGGCATAGTGTGTATGCAGAACAAAAGATGGCTCTGTGATAGCTGGCTCTGTGGTAGCGAGGGCTCTGAAATCAGTCAGTTGGTGAGTGCCGTGCGAGATGGAAGTAACCCGTGTTGAGCAGCGCGCTTAAATAAAAATAGCCGTTCTCCGAGGGAGAAATGCAATGGAATGCCACAGTGAATTAGTAGAAGCCCTTGGGAATAATGCCCTACCATATTGTACAGTAGCACGGTGGGTAGGAAAGTTTCAGCAAGAACGTGTGTTAACCAGTCATGAGCAACGTTCGGGACGACCGGTGAGTGTGCGGACCGACTTGGCTTGCCGTCATCGAGCACCATGGATGAAACAGACGATGGACATAACTGTAGTTGAGAGGCAGTGGCATCGAGAACGCACCGTCCACAGGATATTGCGTAATGAGCTAGTGTCAGAATCCTCCCCAGTCAAATTGATGGTGATCGTCGCGTATGACGTCAGGGTGTCATTGTTTGCCACTTTGTTCTCATGGCAGAACAGTGACCGCACAGTTCTACAGGGATTCCTGCTAACAGGTACGGCGGGCGTTCGGGATAAACTTCCGGATCTGTGGACAATGCGATAATTCGTACGACAGTGCAAAAACCAATAAGCAAGTGTGTACGGAGTATTCCGACGTGTTGGTCGAAGAATTGGAGCACCCACAGTACTCTTCTACCTTTCCTCTGTGACTTTAATCTCATTCCCAAGATTAAGCACGAATACGTGGTAGGCGGTTTGAACACGAGAGGACATTGCTAATGCTGTGCGCAAAAAATGACGGATTCACACATGTGCGGCAAATGCGAGGCTGATGGTATTCAGGCTCCCACATCGTTGTCAGCGTGTGGTTGACAGTAGCAGGGGACACATTTGAAGGTCTTTAGGCCCAGTTTGTCATATCAACTTATGTGTATTGTGTTATCATTCTTGCACGGTGTGAAGGCTATATTGCTCTGCATACTACCGTAATAAATTGTTGTGTTACGATATTTCAGTGCTATCTTGTCCCACATGTAGTTAAGACCTTGTCCTTTCGTCTGTATATGTCACATTTTCCAAACCAGACTGGTAATCTTCAAGATAAAAAAAATAGTTGCCATGATTTGCCCCAACCTACGTTATATTTATAATATAGTAACACCTATATATTTCTGTATTTTAAGTCAATATATATATATAATATATCTTACCACTACGTAAAGTTAGATCAAATGTAGAAATAGTGTGCAACATCTCACTAAAGACTATCATTAAAGTTGTTTCATGTTAATTGACTAGTTATTTAATGCTTTGAATCTTTACTGTAAATTTTCCTTTCCGTTTTTCTCCCAGAATGCAAATTAGTTCCCTTGTATTTAAGGTTAGGGATTCGGATTGTAAGACAGAGTGTGTTTTGCCTATCGAGTAACCACGTTTCTAGATTGCTAGATCAGGTAAGATTTGTAGACTTCGGCCTTGCATTGTAGTTGCCGATATTGAATCTCTACACCGGTTAGCTAAGAGGGACAACTTTGCATTAAACTGATTTGTGCGGCCTTTAGCTGCTAGCTTATTTAAATTTAACTGACATTTGGAATGACTGTTACTTTGAGTTTTCTCACCATAATTGCTGGCTGAACTTGTAAGCACCAGTTATGCCTCCTGTTCTTCTTAGTTTAAAATAAAAGGGTCTTTCATACTCTATTCAAGTTTTAGTTGTTATTTTAGGCTTAGTGACAACTTGTTTAACATCTACGAAGAGTTTGCTTATCATTGAATGACTGCAAAACACACCAAACGTTATAACCTAAACCGGGATAGAATGCGGAAACAGTGTACAATCATTTTACAAAGAGCTACATTAAACACTGCTCATAAATTTTCAAAATTAATGTAATAGTGTGAGCGAATTCCGAATATTTTTATGAGGAAACCGTTAACTTCAGTGAAGTATAACATTTAATATTCAAAACAAGAAGTCCAACTGATTAGCATCCAGACAGAAGATAAATTTAATGAACATCTCAATTTGCAAAAACTTGTAATTAGATGTATTACGAGATGGCGGAAATATAGCTCTTCCACAATTTCTGATCAGTAACCTATGGTATCTCTATCCAGATAAAAAATAACCGCATGTCCTCCATGAAGTAATGACCTTATAAAGTCGGTATTTCTGGTAGATGTATAAACTGAATTTGTTCCAAAGCCTGGGCGGCATAGTCACCGAATTTTAATCTTAGACATTTCATGTGTGAGAAGTATACAAAGTACAGGTACCATTTTCTATTAATATTTATATTTATATATTATTAAATAATGAATAATCTGTATGTGTTATAAAGTATTTCTCCCGCCTTCTTAACGTGCCTTCGTGGTGTAGTAGTCTGCATGCTGGGCGCGTATTCCAGACCTCCGTGGTTCGATTCCTGGCTATGCTCATTTTTCACCTCTCCAGCTTCCAGAAATAATTATAATATGTCATACGAATTATAATACGACATAATTTATAATATGTCCTACGAATTTTCTTTGCATTGTGAATGACGACGGCACTTAGGATCCCCAAATGTTGAATATACACATTCCTCCATCCGAACATGTTCTCCTTAGTACCCGAATTCTGAATTTCAGATGTGCTTTTTTATTTACTTCATATTTAATGAGTTTTCAAGTAACAAACTCAGCTACTTAAAGCAGAGGAGTGGCAATACTGTTCGAAATGAAACATTTTTATTTCTAGTGTCTCAGACTGTTACCAGTCGGCAAAATGCAATATATTTATCTTTCAGCTTTAATCAACAAACTCGATTATTTAAAAGTCGCGTAGAGAAAGATTCTTCACCCTAATTGTTTGAAACAGCCTTCTTTCAGTAACCGACACACTACTCATTTACTAAATCATCTTGCGTCCCATGTTTTAATAGGTCTGACCTGCCTGGGCATGCTGAAATCACACTAACCGGCAGCAATCGAAGACAGCCCAAAATATCATACTTCGACAAATTTGCAGCGTACCTTTGTATATTAGTAATAATAAAATACATAAATAATTAAATATTTTGCAAATAAAAAGTGCATACCATAAGCTAGAAAATTTTTGAAAAATCTTCTTTAAAGAAAGTAATAGCAATTATTATTATTATGTATATGATGCTAGTAATTTAAGGCGATTCTTAATGTAAATATGATCTAAGAGCAGGAAGTATTTGTTTGTCTTTCTTGCGTTTACTCTTTGTTTGTCTTTCTTCTTTGGCACTGCCTGAAATAAAATACGTTTATCTTCCAGTCGCCAGAGTGTTGCCATTCAGTAAAGCATAAGATACTTTTTTAATTTAATCTATCTGTTATGAGTTAACAAACCAAACTATTTTAAAAAGTTAAACGCAGCTCTTTAAGAATATTGTTGTAAGATTCTCTACTCTGTACCTTAGGTTACAGTTGAATGTGAAGAATCTTAAGAACTAGTAAGCGAATAATCGCTTGAGTTCGTAAAACAGTAATTAAACTGGAAAGGATAAAGACCTTTTTATTATCAAATAAGATTTAACAGAACTCCGTTGGAGTTTTACAATTAAAGCCTAAACTAGGCTTGGACTTAGGAACACTAAGATTAAACTTATAAGCTAACTAAAAGATTACCCGAAGCTATCAAGATTTAACGGAGTGGCCCCTTAAGCTATTGACGCGAAGTATTCTGGGCTAAAGTACGGGAGCGTATAATAGCTAGAAAAGTAGCCTAAAAAGACGGACGGGCTCCAGAACTCTAGTTCCCTATGACTAAGACAGAGAACTTGCGGTTTAAGCCGTTTCCTTAATTGCATTCAAACGTGATTCTAAAACTACGTTCTGGTCGGAAGTTGTAAGTTGAAATTAAGAAGGGATAGAACAGGAAGTTTAACTCAAAATTTAACTGATAGCTAAATAAATATAATCCTTGCATTGTTCCTACTTTTTAATCTGATTAAGTTAAACAAAATGCATTAAAGTGTCAAATTAGAAATATTAAATATTTTTATGAAATTACATTAGTTGGATTCATTATATACTTTCCCTTTTTATACGAACTTTTTTGCAACTGGCTGCGAAAGCCATAGTATATTTAAAAAATTAATTAATTCAGAAAACTCCATTTGTAATGAAACCGAAGCAATTTTATGATCAGATATTAGCTTTTATATGTCATGGGTATAAAATAAATATATTCCATAGATCAGATATTAGCTTTTACATGCCACTTATCAGTTCGTCTTGCGACATGAGATAGGTGAGCCAAATATATTAAATATGTTTCTATGCTTCATTCCTCCAAAAGATGATCAAAATCAATTACGAATCACCCGCAACATTTCTCAATATCCATGTAACTACAACTGGATTGACCATAAAGTATAGTAAGCACATGTTTAGGGCATCAAAGAAAGGGGACACCACAAAGAAAGGGGACATCACGGAACTCAAAGAAAGGGGTAATACAAAATTTTCCGTTCTTGGCTTTACCGCAGAATGATGCAGCTAAACCAAGACAGAGAATGAAAAAATAGGGAAAAACAGATGTAAATGTATGTGGTAGCACGAAAATCTTGAAAGCGTTTAAGGCTTCTAAAAGTTCTTATCCAGCCTTACATGCAACGAATTGCCGCACATTAAGACCGCTCTTGATTGCAGGAGATGTAGGAAAAGTGGGTACAACTTTGTGCAAAACAAAAAAGGCAGAAAATTAATATGGTAAAACTCATAGTTTTGCATATTCTCAAACATTACTGACAACATCTGCTGATTGTATTGAAACTCTGAACTTCCTGTACTACTACATGGAATCTGGGAACGAATCAACTACTTCTGCCATTGGGAATCTACTACTTCTGCCACTGGGAATCTACTACTTCTGCCACTGTAACGTCGATTGGCCAATTTCACATATTTTCGTTTACTGCACAAGAGTTGTTAATGCTTAGAGTTGTATGATCTTAGATACTTTCATCTGCAATTGCTTAAAGAACTGTCGCCAAATCTCAAATAGCAATACAGTGCTCTAAAAGATCTATTATATTAGCAATGCTTTATCTATCAAGCTCATATTACTGCAATTCATTGCTGAACTTTGCGATTATAAACTACTAAATGGAAATTAAATTTTACAATTGGACACCTTCTATTAAAAACAAATACTTATCCCCACCTTCTATGGTGTAGCGAAATCTATCGGTGAGATTGTGAGCTATTTTTCTTCCTTGTGATTTAAAAAAAAATTATAAATTCATAACATGAATGTTTGCACAAATGCATCCTTAAGCAGTAACAGAAGGAATTTTTTAGAGTTTTAAAAATATAGCATGTTTAGGTTTACTCAACTTTCTATTAATTAAAAAATGTCATTTTAGGTAACTTACTGTACTTGAAGAAAAATAAGTCATTATACATAACGTAAGTGTGTCCGAGGATATTGAACACTACAGTGAGTAGAAACAATCCTCTAAGCACTGGCATAGGATGACTGTCGACTTTTACATTAACCAGTTGTTTAGTACTATTGATGATGGATAGTGATTGCGAGATGTCTTGCAATATAGCTGTAAGAAAGAGAAAATGCGTGATAAAATTTTCATATTCTAAAGTTATTAGAATGTTGGTAAAAATAATTTATCTCTTGTAACAAACTTATAACATACATTCAATAACACATTAGTGAACGAACTTACCAAAATAACATGGATTAACACATCAAAGAATAAACTAGTAGCAATGCATGCAACGAACAGATGCTGTTAGTTTGCAGGGACCCTTCGATGTAATTCACATACATCTTTTAAATAAAATGCCCCTATGCTACTTTTTTACCCCACTGGACTCACTTTAAAACTTTTAACTTATTCATGTAACTTCTAAAAGTGACACAAAATCACAGCATAACTCAAAGTTATTTATTTGGTCTGATGCCGCTTATTGTTTCAAAAGCATTATTTGTGACGGAATAAAAATACCCACAATCTTGTTAGGTGTTAAAATCAATATACTTTATATGCATTTACGTAAATGAATTTTCCCTGTCATTAAACAAACCACAGTGGTCTAATGCTTAGTGCTTCTGGCTGTTGATCATTGGGCTCAAGTCTGAATCTCGGGGAAGGCATCTGTAATTTTGTTCTGCCTATGCGGCAGTGAGGAACTGGAAACACAGATACAGACAAAGGTTCGCTCATGGAGTTTTGTGGAAGAGGAAGAGGGGGATAGAATTTCTCGCATCGGTCCTCCGGCGTATTCTTCATAGAAATTGGTTACAATTCTAATAGCTAGTGCGGCGGTACTGATATGACCAATGGTGAATTTCTAGTGTTTTGCTCCACTATACGCTTACCTGCCATTGGCAAAAAGAAACGTAACATGTAAGAATAGCTTAAGTTTTAAATTTAAAGTGTTGGAGGTGGCCGCTTTTCAGAAAAGGTGCCGCCACCCCAAAAAGCACTAATAATATGTAAAACCGCATGTAACGAGTTATGACAATTATATGAAATATCATAAGGTACAAATATTAATAAATTAAATTAATAACAAATAAACTAAAAATTAATTAAACTATAAAAAATTAAAAGTGTGCATAGTAACAACACTTGAAACTAGGAACTAAAAGAAAATACTTGTTTGTAAAAACTGAGGCAGCGCAACAACTCAGGTCATCTGCCTAAGTGAAAAGATACCTTCGGAAAAAATGTTCTGAAAGTTTGGTTCATATTTATGTTCAATGTGCAGGTAAGTATTCTGAAACGTTTTCTTTGCGATCGAATAAAAGTGCATTTTTAATTTGACTTAAATTATTTAACACCATCTTGACCAGAGAAATTCAGCTCATAAAAGTCTCTATTCCTAATAGGATCGCATTTCCACTCAGAGTACTTTTTCCATCAGTTTCTAAGGTTCGACCTCTTATTTTGCATTTCTTGAAGAAAGTGAGGCATGGATTCAGTATCCAGAATAATTTTACTATTAATGTAAAATAAAATTTTGCATTATTAATAATAGAACTTCCTCGTAATATTGTGCTTCAGTTGGACATCGATGTACTTGGATATGAAATTCTGTTTCAGACAAAAATTGAGAAACACCACTACAGGTCTGCAATGAGTTTCGACTAAATTTAAATCCCACCTGTAAATAGAACTAAACGCAGAAATATTAAGCTCATTCTTGTGGTAACATGTAATTTTTATTACCTACAATGTAGGTAGCTTAAAGCAGTTTCCTTGTTTTCATATAAATCTTTCCAAAATAACAACTATGGATTACAACTGAATAATTGAACCTATACCATGTATTAAGCTTTTATATTAAATATGACGGAGTACAACTTATTAAGCAGTCTTAAGCTTGAATTCTTAGTAACACTAATGCATTATTAAGCAGAAAATCAAGGAATACTGAAAGAATTCATTAAAAGAATTCATTAATTTTGGAACGGTTATATTTTGGATAAAGGCATAGATTACTAAACTAAGTCACGGATATAAGAAGATATGAGCGAGAAAAAGGAATGTACGTATTCTTTTTGCATATGCGTAATTAAAATCGACGTGTTCAGTGCTATGCAGATGCATATTCTTCTATTTCTGTTCTTATATGTGAAACCCTGTTGAGATCTCATTAACTTTAAGAATAAAACTAGCATTATAACGAGAGAATTTCAAATCTAATAAAAATAATTATACACTGCCTATGACTTTGCATTCAGTTTAAAATGAGTTTCGAAATGAGAAGCTATTATTCTGTTTTTTGAATAATAAAATATGCATTAGGAAGAAACAAATTTGTTCTTTGAATTCAAAATCAACAGAAAATTCAGCTTATTTCTTGAATTTACTGGAAAAGAATGTTAATTTTCAGTATTTCAAAGTAGGTAAGTGTTTAGGTGAAATGTATTAGCTTTGTATCGCTTGGTATTTGAAAGTGTAGAACAGAAGAATAAAAAAGTTATTGCTTTTGAGCAAGGTCACGTAACACTACAGGAAAAAGAAATGCCTTGTTAGAAAAGAGCAAGACGTGATCAGACTAAACACTTTTATTAAAGAAATTTTTATTTTTTCATCAATTACATAGTGTTATTCTTATATATGCAAATTATTTTATAATTTTACGGCTGTAATGAAGAAGATAAACACTGACGTAGTTTGAAGGGTAATAAAACGGCCACAAAGATTAACGACATATCATTACGCAAAAGGAAATTCTTATTAAAAACCTAGCAAACGTATTTAGTGCCAATTAAGAAGAATGAAGTTGAGTTAATACGCATTGATTGCCAAATGATTACGTCAGTGCTGGTGATCTTTAAAAAGTCTCTAGTGATTCTCAGAAAGCATTTTTATATTTTCATTATATTTGTGTTATAAAATTTTCAAGTCTGATTTTAGACTTTTTTTCACAATGTCTCTCTTCACATGGTCAAGTACTCTAGCGCTGAGAAATCGAAACCCATATGTTGTGTTTGACGTGTTCTAATTAGATAAAGCAAAACATTTTCTTCTTTATATTTTCTAGTGATCTGACCTGACGTAAACTTCCCATCCTCTGGCCTGCCTTTTGGCTGCTGAGGAACACACGCCTGCCATATACAAAATCATCGTGACGCCCCTTGCACCGAAAGGTTTTACTTTTGACATGGTAAAAATTGTAAAGCTTTGTAAAGTAACTAATGTTAAATGCCGTTTTAACATCAATCGATTCAGAAGGGTACTTTTGGTACGGACACATTGTAAAGACTAGCCTTCTACATGTGTCTCATGCGAAGCGTCATTTTGACCTCCGGCTTGGTGAGAATGCAAAGTTTGCTTCATCTGCCATGTCGAATGCAATTTTGACTCCCATGTAATTTGGAAGGGATTTGATTTTATTATTTGGGTTTTTGAAAAGCACATTAGGCTATCCGGCTAAGAGAAGACATGCTTTCGAGGAGGATTTCTCAGGGGTAACTGGCTCGGATCCTCATTACAGATGGAGAAAACCATGAAACCTCGCATGCAGCTAGTGCCTTCAGCAAGATTTGAACCAGGTCGAAATACCAGTGTTTAGCGATTTTTAGTGCTTGTCTGCTAGTGCTTTTCTGAAGCGTTACTTTTGATCTGACGATACTGCGTAAACTGGCTTCTAGATGGCTGCTATGTCATTTTGACCATGATCTGATATGCCTCGATGTCATTTTGACCTCCATCTAGCTGAAGAGTTTTGCTTTTAATCTGGACACAGAGTGAAGTCTGCTTGTCTGTATGTCTGCCATGTTTCGACCCGGGCTCTATTCCAAGCGAGCGAGTTGGCTTCATGATTAGTTTCACGGTTTTCCCTTTGTCTAACGTGAATACGAGCTATTTTTTTTTAGAAAAATCCTTCATGAACACATTCTCTCCCTTAGATATATAGTCCCTGTGTACGTTGCTGCAATCCGATGGAATAGTCTGCCATATGCAATGGAACTTTAGTCCTAACCTAGCCCATCGGAGTAAAAAAAAGAAATTGTCTTAGCTCCGTGACCAAGCTCGAAGAACATTTCTTTTGACTCCGCGACCAAGTTCGAAAACACTGCAAAGTCTGCTTATCTACAGGGACTAACACATCCTTCTATGGTCAGGATATCATTGATAATTCAGAGACAAAATCATATCAACAACCAAAGTTTGAGATCAAAATTTTGTAAAACGAAGATATTATGCCAAAACATTACGTTTTCAATTTATGCTTGAGGAATCTGAGCATATTAAACAAAAGTTGCCTTCAGGGTCTTTAAAAAAGGTTAACAACGTTTTATTTCCTTAATATTGATTGTGAAAACGTACTTTTAATTACAAAATATAGTAAAAAATGCTTGAAAACTATTTTGGCAATAGATGTAGAAGGTATCATAAATACAAAATTAAACGTTTTATGCGATCTCTGAAGATCAAGAAGTCCAGTTAATAAACTGCTCATTATACTTTAAGAAATTAAGTACGAAGCATTCCGTGAATTTACGTGCCAAATGAGCGAAAATAAAAATCAGTGTGGTAATTTTTGTATTTAGCTTAAGAAAGCGTACAGAAAGTACTGCAAATTCGACATTTTGTTCTGCGGAGATCAATCAAAAAGTTTGATTTTATATTTGCAGAGTTCTGTCCCTAATATTAAAATTGTTTTCATGATGTTTATGAACAGCTTTGTAATTAAGTAAGTATCCGGAAACAATATTGGAGAAACTAAAACCTGTAGCTACTGATGTTACACTACTTTACGCAGTGTGTCAGGACAGGATTCCTGACATTGTGTAAACAGTAGCAAGTATTTATGGAAACAGCTTTCATTCATTTTAATTAACATTCACAAAACGTATTTCAAAGTAATGCTGTAATTGTATAATCGTTTCTTCCTCCTGCGTTGTCTAAATGCGCTGAAATACTAATCATTTGCATATCATTTCTTCCCAACCTCTTCTTCCTTTCATGTGATTTTAACGTTCGTCAGGTCATTCCTTCCTGGTGTTGCAATTCTGATGGCCAGCAGTGTAGTTATACTTTTACTTAAAGCAATATATTTGTAAAATTTTTATATGTTTTGCTCTTCTTGTTGAACGCAAAATCCTTTTAGAAGGCACTGAATGTCTTTTTCATGCAAGCTGAAATTTATATAGTAGGTTTCTGAGAAGCCACAAAACAAAAGGATCAAAACATCTGCGTAATATCGGATCTAGAAAGAACGTAAGTTGCATTTGTGCAAAATGTTAAATAAAAATATGATCTCACAGCAATGTGCTTAGTGCACGTTAGCAAAATATTCGTTTCATTATTCTAACTTTTCATTCAACAATATCTAAAAACATTTTAAATGCTTTTATTATAAGAGAAGGTTATTTACATAATTTTGAAAGACACTATAACAAAACATTTATATTATTTAAGATAGAAATAAAATGTGTTTAAATCAAAGAAATACTTACTTTCCACTCTAGACTTAGGATCTGCAGGCCTTTTGGAAAAGTATATCTCGGCAACCGTGCTGAACAGTACCACCAATACAATCGAGGTCAAAACAGTTCTAAATGTCGTCATTCAAAGAAAATAGTTCCAGATTTGTTCATAAAGTTTAAGAAACAAAATATAAATTACGTAAACCAGTAACTTGAAAATATGGTAATACAGCAGCTGATGAAATGTTATAAGATTTTAAAAATTTTAGGCATAATAATTATTGAGTGATTGTAGAAAGATTAAAGCTACCGTTGCTTTTGTGAGCAAACTGTTTGTTGGAGATGGTATTTATTTACTAGTCTGTAGTTGCTGAACATATGCTTAGGACATTGAACCTGAAATAAGCTGAATAAATGGATGTTTAAGTTTGACCTCTGTTATATATAATTACTAAGAAAAGTGCATATATGCTGTCTCAGAGAACGAAATTTTGTGCAAAGGCTACGTCGGAATGAGAGAAAACGGAAGAGACTGAATTATTCAGATAGGAAATGAAAGAAAAAAAAAATTAAACATAAGACGAAAAAGAAAAGGATGAATTATTTTACAGATAATTTAAATTCCCTTGGAATAAGTAAATTCGAAGGAAAGTTATTTTAAAAGAATTAGAAGTCTGGGAAAGTAAGTTAGATATCCTTCTAGGTTATAGTTAAATTTACAATGTCATTATAATCAATTATATTAAGCGACATGCAGTGTTAACGAAGTTGCGATTTAAAATATTTCCTTATTATTTTAATGCTGCAAAACTCATTTATTATGTGATTAAATTAAAAGGAATTTTCATTCTTTTGCATCTGGGATTTATTTAAAGGGTTAGTTTAAGCTCCAATTTTGTTCAATGTTTAAATCAAAAATATTAATTAAATAATTTTATTTCAGTATTTAGCTTTAATAGATAAAATGCTATCTCTTTGAATTTCAAAACATTAAAGATTTTAACATTTTAAAAAGCTGAATGATAAATATTAATAATTTTGTTCTCAAAATTCTCAATATATTCTCTTTATTTAAGGGGACTCATACACCTTAAAACCCATAAGATGTTCGAATAGGTGACTGTTGCAAGAATTGGGATAACTTATTTATTTTAAAAGCAATTACTACCAACGTTTTACTGCTGACTATATAATATGGCTGCTTTTTGAAATAGTAATCAGAAATTTTGTGTTGCCACAAATATTTTTATAATTTAATCCGCTTTGTGACAACATTTTTCATCATGTTTCCAACTTGCGCGCACAGTTTAAAATATTCTTTTTCATAATTTAATTCCATATTATATATAGCTTTAAACATTTAGAAACTACTGTGAACCTAAATTCTAAAAATTTCGTGTTCAATTTTTATTTTATTTTGAGTTGAGTTTAAAAATGTATTTTATTAACAAATTGTAATGTTTCTCCATAAATTTTTCTGTAGAAAATATTTATCACATTGTTGGTTTCAGTTCAAAATAGTGCCCATATAAAGAATTCCATCCAATTTCAAGTATGTACCATTAGCCATTTTTAAAATATCATGCGCGCAAGGTGAAAATGCCGAAATATTTTGTCACAAAGCGGATTAAAAAAAAACATTTGTGGCAACACAACTTCTGGTTACTAGTTTCTAAAGCAGCTAATTATGTAGTCAGCTGTAAAAGGTTGGAAGTAATTGCTTTTAAAATAAATAAAATATCCCAATTCTTGCAATAGTCACATATTCGAAGATCATGAGGGGTTTAAGGTGTATGAGTCCCCTTAAATTAGACAAATTAATGATTCAGGTACAGCATACTTGTTTTAAAAAAGTAGCATACATGATATTAAAAAGTATTTAAATGTAAAACAAACACGTATTTGAAGCACTTCGGAATAAAACAATAACGTCTAAGCTGTCAAAGATATTGAATTAAAATTAAATTTACAAACACATTTTGTAAAATCTCTATTTTTCAAGTACTTTAACGAATTTCAAGGCTTAATTTGATTTTAATATGGGCAAAGAGAAGGTATCACTGTAGAAAATTTATGTTATTTGTATCCTTTTGTAAAGAAAATGGTTCATTGCCAAGTAACATTCTATTAGAATATTCTAGAAAGTGTTTTTTGTTGAATATGTCACTTATTCATTGCTAACAAAATACTTTATACGTTGAAAATGACAACTTTTCCCTAAGTTGTCATTTTGAACGATGACCTTGAATTTTTCCGCACAAACCTACTTTCATATGGACGTTCAAAAACACGTCAAAATTTTGATTAATGCTTAGTATTCACCAAATGAAATCGGTTTTTCTTCTAGGTGAATAGGTACCAATTAATGCGTGACTGATTTATCAAATACAAATAATTTATTTATATATTTAGTCTTCAACAACTTTAAGCTTTGGGAAACTAAATTATATGAAAACGAACATGTTTGAGTAAAGAAGCTAAATATGCTTTCAGAATTTATTTTTCAACATCTTTCAGGAATATTTTGATTTTCGGATTTTTAAAGGTTATTTTAAACATTGAAAAACATCGTAACAAAAACTTAATAACAAATATAAAAGCTTTTCTTCCGGTACTTAACTATTTCAAGTCTATTTTGCTATGCTTCTTATGTATTCATGCTCCTTAATAGTTTACGTTGTTTTGGTAAGGGAATTTAGATACATATTTTATCTGCCTCTCGGACAGGTGTATATAAAAGCAATTGACATAGTGCAAAATAATTAAATGGTGACATTCTTAAAGCCATTATTATGAGGAGCATTCAGAAAATTAATTTCTCCCATTCACAAAACATGGCAGGCCATGCATTCAGAAAGGCAAATGTATATGGCTGTAAATTTTAGGATGTATCTGTCTTATGCAACAGCTTTCACTTTATCGTAATTATAGAAGCTTAAAATGTCGGCCCTTATTTTTGTCCCTGCTACGAGTGAGATTTCTTTTATAATGAAAGTCGGTAGGCATTTTATTTTCAATTGTATCATATCTGTGGGTCTTATATCATGAGAGTGAAGCTGGGGTGCCATTAGCGCAAGCAATTTTCCGAAGATCATCAAGACATTTACGATGACGAGTGTATTGGGATGAGAAATACATATCTTCTGCTGGAGGATTTTTGATCACCATTCATCTAATACTGATTTCGCGCTCAGGTATTTTCATCTTTTTCTGCATCTAAAGAAACTCTTATCCAGTAAGCATTTTCAAAACGACGAAGTTGTGCAGGTGGATAAAACAAATTGATTTTGATCCCAGAAGAGAGAGCACAGCAACGGAACACAAAAGTTGATCCCACATCATAACAAATGTCTCATTCCGGTGGTGAATACGTCGAAAGTAGATCTAGAGCTACTGTATCTATTCAATAAATGTTTCTATCTAATTTTGTTTCCTTTCTAGTTACAATCCTATGGAAATTTGCTTTCTGAATTCATTTAATATATTTTTTAAGAATTGAATAAATTAAATTTTGTCTCATCAAAAGAATTCAAAAGTACTTCCAGCATAACGAATGATTTAATTAATTTTTGCATTTTGTTTACAGTCAAACGTTGTTAGAGCTGCTTTGATGAGATCTGCCGTATACCGATTTCTTTTCAACTTGTTTCTTAATGCATGCCAAAAGAAGAATCTCTGTAACTCTACTTCAGCATAAACCTAATGGCAGCTTTATTCAGACCTCTCAGTTGGATTTAGCCTCTCTACATTGATTGCACCATTACACCAGGTGATGCTATGTAACAGGGCTTAAGTTTATATCTCCAGTTAGTTTCATGAAGATATAAAAGGAGATTAAATTATAAGACCTATATGCAAAATTACTTCACTTGCTTACTGGCATTAATATTTCTACTCCAGAATCCTCAACTCTATTATAATATTTAATGCCACTATGTAGAAAAGGCATTTTACATAATAAGACTTCCATTACATTTTGTATGTGTATACACACACATATGTATACATTCTGTTACATATTATATTACATATATTCACAATATATTATATATACATAGCCTAACTTACATAATTATTGTTTGCTCTAATGTGAATTCTAACTTTTTCTTTTCTTGGCAATGGAGTACTTTGAGTGGAAATCCCAGTTGCTTTGCAACTAAAAAAGAGAACAAACAGATGTTACTTTACAATATGCTACAGCATGGACAGTACATGTTTTAATTAGCAGAATGCTGGAAATCACTACTCAATCGTGAGTTAAAAAGTAGAAGTATTTTAAGAAATAATAATAGTAGTCCTAATAATGACAATAAAAAATCTGATGCGTACACCACATGACTTCCTTGTATTGGAATATTAAATTATATGCATTTTTTCTTGCATTTCATTTAAACTTATTGGATTGAATTAAATCTACTTCGCCGACAGCGCATAACCACATAGAATAAATGCATTCTTTAAAATTCATCTAGTATTTGTTACCATAGCGACACCTGCGCAGATTCACTTAACAGTATTAATAATTATATAACAGCTAACTTATGTAGTAATTATATAACGGAACTAGTTAACGTTATATAATCCAATAATATATAACAGTTAACGTATATATTTCGTTCATATTATAACTCATAATGCACAAAATTATATCATTTAAAGAATAGAATTATCAATCGTTGCCAATGTTCTATTCAAATACTTTAATAAAGCTAGAATGATGTATAAAAGAAATTAAGCAAACAACAAAAAAAAAAAAAAAAAAAAAAAAAACAGTTTTTCACAGACGATTGAGTATTTCTCATTGAATTAATTCAATTCTCGCTTCGCGAAGGCAAAAATACATAAAAACGCAAAATCTATATTAAAAATTACGAAGTAAATCTCAAACCTTATTTCCTCGAAAAAATTCCAAAAAAATTAAGCATGATAATTGCAATAATAAATGAACGGTTATCTTTGTTGTTGCGAAGCTAAGTTTCTCTAGATTGGCACAAATCCATAGTCTCCTTTTCAAATGTAAACATCAGTGGCCGCCATTAAAAACAGCTTAGCGGAATTAAACAACTTTAAATTGTTGATAATTCTAAAAATATTGCAAACTATTTACTAAAGGCATAAAACCTAACCGGACGATAAAAACAACAAATTCAATCATTTTAAAGCAAAAAATGTACAATTTACAAACATATAAGAGTAAAGAAACTGAATCACTGAGCCGGGTAACAGAGTGGATATATATTATATATTTATATACGTTTCGTGCGGCCGATTGCAACCAAAATAACGAGGTGCACATTACATGTTATAGCAGTCCTATATAAAATTTCAACGTTCTGAGGCTACTCGGTTTTTGAGTTATGCGAGATACGTACGTACGCACGAACGTACGTACGTACATACGTTCGTACAGTCGCCACGAAAAATTCTCTTCAGAATTAATTTTAAAGCAGTTTTATAATTTTTTTGAAGGAAAAGAGTCTTTTATTCTGTCCTTACGTGCAGATATCACTTAAAAACATCGTTAAATTGCATTCGATAGCGGTCAAAATGGATATTTTCGTTGAAATATGCTGCCTGAAACTTTCGCGATTACAATACTTTCTTTTTACTTCGTACAAGGAAGTAAAAAAGGAAACAATCTCAAAGGGTTCAGATTTTGATGCTCGCCTGAAGGGGCTGTTTTAAAGTTTAATATGATTTATCAGTAGAGTTTTTTAATACAAATGGGCTAGGTGGAATAGCGAAACGTTTTGTACTATATAAATTTATACATTTAGAATAATATGTATATGCAATACTGGAGGAGTGAAAGAAGTAAGAATCAGCGTAATCTGCAATTTAAGCAAGAATTAGTGTAATATTTATAAATTTGGGGCACTGTAGCATAAGTTTGTAAATTTATGCTACACTACTGCTAGAGTATCTCAAATTTATAAATATTACGCTGATTCTTGCTGTAAATCCTCCAAACATCGTTTTCAGCGTGATGTTTAAACAAAAGTGTCTACGCATGTATATGCATGACATGTATGCATGCCATGTTGGTCTACATTTTTACATATTTAAACTTACATGACAGATTTATATATATATATGATCAGTATATTTGAAAAGTAAAAAAACATGTCTTCTCTAAAATTTAATTATTCCATAAAAATATTTCCTATTCCATAACAAATATGATTAATATTCTATAAACATATTTATGCATATTCTAAGTATTCCTGTGCGTATGTGTATTCTATAGAAGTATTTAATGTTTTAATGACACATATGATGAATTAAATGCTTTTTTATTTAAATCATTCCAAATAGAAACTACAAGAAAAAATATTATTTAGAACTGCAGCTATCGTCCTTAAACTACTTAGTTTGTTAATAAATAACAAAAAGATTAAATCTGAAAGATAATTTATCTTTCCTCGAATGGCAACAATCTTAAATGAGAAGTGAAACAATGCATTTACAGTGGACATTCAAAATGAATGAGCGCATAATCGTGCTTTCGAGACTAATAGCATTTTGAGGTTAATAAATGAAGACTGGATTTCTATGAGTTTTAGTCACAAATAAGCTTCTTTTGCATGCTCATATTCGCTTATCATTTATTTCTGCGACATGACATTTTACAAGGTGTTCTAAGTATCGTAAAGGCATAACTCAAGTCTAAAATGGATGATTTTTCATGCGTAATCCATTCTGTTCAAATAAAAAAATTATTTTGTTAAGTTTTTTTTTAATGTTTGAAAAAATATTTAAAATTCATTTACAGGCTACATATAGTTTATATGAAAAGACCCAAAATCAGCGCTGCTTTGGGATTGGACCGTTTCGAGATTCAGATGTTCTGGTTTCTTAGACTCTAAGAAACCAGATCTTCTTAGATTTAGTATTTTAACTAACGCAACATTTTTACGAGAATTATTTTCTTTACCTCTTATTTCATTCGTTAGCTTCACTATTATCATTTTATGTTTATATAGATTTCAAACTTATAAAAGACATCAAATGACGAGCCTTTATAATATGCTGAACGTGACAGTTTCTTTAAGAAAATCAGATTAAAATTTTATTTATGGCTTTGTAAAATGAAATATTATGCTATCTTTTAGGCAAAAAGCTCTTTTCCGTTTGCCAAACTGAATTAAACAATCAAATATAACAGAAGGATTATCTCTTTTCCCACCGAAAATGAGAGAAAAATGTTTTTCAGAAAAGAGAAAGTGTTGCTTTAAAGTACATATATATATATATATGCATGCAGTGTATGAATAGAAGTTAAAAAGAATAGTTAAGAAAGGAGACTGTCAAAACTCACTGATAAAAACTTAATGTTTCAGAAAAATATATTTTCATGGTAGAAATGAAAGAAATGTTTGTTATTTTAATCTCATAACTAAATTGAAGATACAGTAAACCCTTTCCGAATGCGGGGGGGGGGTTACGTCATTAATGCCTTGCGCATGCTGCAAAATCCAGTTCCACAAAGTTAAGTTTCTAAGAAAAAAGCCAATTGGGTATCGTTCAGATTAAGAAAATGTGATAATTAATACAAACATAAATATCGTTGCAATTAAAAGGAAAATGATTCAAATGTTAATTGCATAGACTACTGTTACCGCTTAATAAGTAGCAGCATTATACAATGTTTCTGTTTAAAGAGCTGATATTTTTGCTTGGGACAGCGTCTGATGCAACTCATTAAATGCTTCGCAGTAAAACGTGTAAAGATTTTCAGTACCCTTCATAAAGTATTCTCTTCTTTCTTCATTTGGGTAAATCTGCATTACAAAATCAGACTCCTGTGCCTATATTAATAATTTGTTTAACTTCTTGTACGTTAAAGGCTCGTTATCTTCTCCATTTGTGCTGCTTTTATCGTCTGCTAATGTTGTAAAATCATCCAATGTTTTCTTTGTCATTTCACAATCGTCATTCTTGACTAATTCTTGGATTTCTTCTTCTTCCATATCTGAAAATTCTTCGCCACCCATTTCTTTTCCCATTTGTATGATTTCTTTGGCTTCACTTTCAATCGATGAAAATTTTTTTTCATTGTTGACAACTTCTGCCCAACGCTGATGCCAGTAAGTGTTCATTTTTGGTGAATTCATTTGTTCCGATGCGAATTTAATTATTTCTATGAAGTGTCTCGCGTTGAATTGCTTCCAAAAATACCATTATACTGCGCTTTTCTTCTTTTAGTGCTTTATTTGCAGAGATGTAAGCACGCGTTACATAATAAGCTTTGAACGTTGTTTTGGTTCCTTGACCCATTGGTTGGATTAAGAAATTGTGTTCGGTGGAAGGAATATAAAAACTCTACATTTAGATGCAGTGCTGTCAGGGCTTCAGTAGAAATTTAAAGCTGAGGTTTTGCTGTTCTAAGCAATGTTTAACTTACTTAATCAGCGAAATTTCAAGCCAGGACCATCCCAACGCGTAACAAATAGTTTCACTTTGGGCGAATTAAAAGGAGGGAATTAAAAAAAGACATAAACGCAAAATCGCATTCAGAAAGTCAGAGTTCGGTAAGAGTTTACTGTATCAAAAATCATACGAAAGAGCTTCCAATTTCCAGTTTGCAAATGGTGAGATATTAAAGTCATTTAATTTAGGCCCTTTAAATGTTAGGTTAGTTTAGATTAGGTTGGGTTGAGTATGTCAAATCAAATGGGTTCTATCAGCCTACGAGAAGGGAAGACGCTTAGGTACTTTAAAAAGGATACTTTAAAAAGGACTAAATTCTAATTTAACATTTAATTATCCAAACGAAAATTTGCTCCGTATATTCCATAAGAAGTACCTAGTTATAAAGACCACGTTGTTTCAGTAAATCTCGTCTATAAAGCAAACTTAAATCTTTTAAGGATAATTCAGCAATACAGATATATTTGAAATTCCTTAAATATTTAAAGAAATTCAATCATATCTGAATCAATGAAAACATTTTTAACGTTGCCAACTGCTAGTGGTAGGGTGAAATATTCATAAGAGTTTAAAAATTAAAAAACTCAAATTATGCAAAATTTTATTTGGTCCAAAAATCTGTCAAATATTACCATTTTCTATACGCCATATAAATTAAATAATCAGTTAGACTCTTGAAAATACTATCGAGTTTTTTCGTTAAATAAAAAAAAAGTTAAATTATAA